TGTCGGGAGTAAATGACGACTGCTATGTTCATTATTACATCCAACAACAGAACACCTCAGTCGCTTAGGAGTCATTCTTGGCTACATCTGCTCCAGCGGTAAAACAATGGCGCTACTGTCAATCAAACTATCGTGGGCGGGGCCTGTCTGTGTGACATCACACAGACAAGGCATCTGAGATCGGCTCGATTTGAGAAAGGGGAAAACATTTAACCAGATTAAAAAAAAAAAAAAAACACCTGGTGGATTTTTATCATTATAGGGTGGTTGTGTACACACACTGCCAACACACATTTCAGTTCAAACAACTTGTAAAGGTGCATGTAGCATCCTATGACCCCTTTAAATTATATATATGTCTGCACTATGTTGGTACTTTCTGTACTTGAAGATCCTAACACACTTGACAATAAAGCTCTTACTGATTCTGATTAGTTAATCACACACACACACACACACGCACACACAAGAAGGAACACAGCATAAGCATCTCTTTAATTCAAATTTAATAACTTCAAAAAATGTAAAGGAGCTATAATTGTATATTACTTCAAGATTTTTTTCACATACAGAATTTGTCAGAGGAAAAGACAGATATGTAACATCTCACCAAAAAAAAAAAAATGATACAAGCAGAGGGAGAAAACAATGTACATAAAGTTAATAACCCCCAAACACAGATGAGAAAACAAACACTTGAGATATTCAAACATAATCCAGGTTGGTATTTTTTTATAATGAGAATTACCATTACACAGAAAAGGTGAGATTCTGTGAAGACCAAAAAGCAAACACATATTCATTTAATTCAGCTGGTTCATTCTCGTTCTAAACATTCTAAGCTCAACTTACAAAATGAGAATATTGGTGCTTGTTCGTGGAATGCTGGGTGGGTGTGAAAGCCCCTAGATTTACTTCTCAAACACACTGGTCTGATCAGTTAAAGGCAGGTGTATAAGGAAGACTACAAATGTGCGCGTTTGTGCACGTGCACACGTCAGAGAGAGAGAGAGAGAGTGTGTTTTTGGACACATTAGTGGCCCTTATACATTTACTGTATAGATGCTTGCATATGGCAATATCATGGGTCTCATCTAGCCGAAAGAGTAAGACACACAAATTAAAATGACTGACATAGTGCATTAGATGGCTGAAACCGATAAGTGAAGGAGGTGAAAAAACAACCACACGTTCATACAAATCATATAGAATTCTTTTCACAGTAAAGCATTACAGAGTTACACCTGACACACTGGTCTTATGTTGATTTTTGCATTATTCAAACAGCAATTTGTTAAAGATTTTAAGAATTGTACTGTAAATAGAATCTCTCACGTTTTCCTAAACTCTATGCATAAAACAGGTCTACTAACCTGTGCATGGTTAAACAATGTTAAATTCTAGAACCATAAGATCAGAAACTCCTATCTGACTGGCAGCTTGTAGTCAAATGAGAGGATTTCAAAGTACACATGGTTCAGAATATGTGCTTCACAGATGTTTAGAAGTTTTAAGGGATGGTAGCTTGATATAGGATTTCCGTAGAAGCCCAAATTGCACTTAAAGTTGTATTGTATTTACGCCACGCTAAAAACATTAACCTATAAACTTAACAGTTGTAAAATAATCCTAAAAGTTTTCATGACAAAATGTCATTTTTTTTAAACCATCAAACAAAATATTACTTGTTCCTCCTTTACTTTTTTACTGTTATTACACTTCCAGAATATTAGTACACTGTAAATGTATCATATTACGATCAGCATTCTAGGAATGACATGCAAAAACTAGTTGTTAAGTGTAACAATCTCCTTTTCCCTAAAGTGTCCTGTCCATGAGATCAGGACTAATAAGGCTAAGAAATGTAGGAGAGGGAGTATTTTTAGACTATTGGCTCCAGCATGATTCAAACAACCGGTGCAAGTTAAATGTGAGTACATCCACTGTCCTCAGGTAAACCTCACCTGGAAACAGACATATTCTCACAGGACATTAAACAGGTGAGACTAGTTTATTGTGCAGGTTGTCAAACATGTTAAGAAGTCACCTGGATTAATGGACATGCTCTCATCCATTTATTGAGCATATTGTTTTAAATTCTGATTGATATTCTAACCTGAACAAAGTCTTTAAGGAGCATGTTTCACTAGATTGTGTAACCTCACTCCATTTCAAGATTTTGCTAATAGAAACTGTCAAACGAAAGAGGCCAACCCCCCCCCCCCCCCAAAAACAAATT